TAACTGTTCATCAGATATTGTTTATGCGGGTGTTTAGAATTATGTTTGTGTGTGTGTGTGTGTGTGGTTGTGGGGCTTGAACTCTGGGCCTGGGCACTGTCCCTCAGCTCTTCAGCTCAAGACTAGCACTCTACTTGAGCCACAACACCACTTCCGGCTTTTTCTGCTTATGTGGTACTAAGGAATCAAATCCAGGGCCTCATGCATGCAAGGCAAGCACACTACCACTGAGCCACCTTCCCAGCCCCCCTCAGAGCCTTTTTAAATCCAATCTTACACACTGCCTACTTCCTAACCCCCATTTACCTTCATAGATTCCACGCCCCATCACAACACTTAAATTCTAAGACAGTACTAATTATAATATGCACCACTGCTTCCATGATAGCTTTTTGGAGAAATAAAAACTCTACCATATATATATATATATACACACAATTTACATATAATTTATATATGTTATATATAATATGTTATAATATATGTATGTTATATAATATATAAATTCTAATGTACTTCAGAATTCTAGAAATGACCATTTTAGAAGGGATTTTAAGCTGGGTGTAGCAGTGCATGTCTTTAATACTGCCACTTAGGAGGCTACAGCAGGAGGAGGAGTACATCATCAGTCTAGGCTACACAGTCAGACCCTATATAAAAAGAGAAAAAAGGAAGGGGAAAGCTGGCTTTGTTTTTTGCCCAAGGTTCCATTCCCAGCACAGAAGGCGGGGGGACAGGGAAGCTTGTATACTGTGTGATTCCTTTGATGACATTCTCAAAAAGATGAAATTATTGTGACAAGAGAGCAAATCATGTTGCCAGGGCCTCAGATACCTATGAGGTGAACACAACTTTGCTGCTCTTGATTGTGCTAATAGCTATACAAGTCTTCAAAGTTATGGGGCAATTCTGATGTCAAATTTTTGTTAATTTAAAAATAATTTTAGATGTGATTTTTTTAATGTATTGTATCTTTTTTTTGGGGGGGGGTCTGGTCGTGGGGCCTGAACTCTGGGCCTGGGCGCTGTCCCTCAGCTCTTCAGCTCAAGGCTAGCGCTCTACCACTTGAGCCACAGCGCCACTTCCAGCTTTTTTCTTTTTGCTTATGTGGTGCTGAGGAATCAAACCCAGGGCCTCGAGCATGCAAGGCAAGAGCTCTACCACTGAGCCACCTTCCCAGCCCTAATGTATTGTATCTTCACAGGGTTAAATTTTCACAAGCTTGACCAATTCACTGAAAGTAAATATTCATTTTATAAATGGAAACATATACTGCAAAGAATATTTCCTAGTCAAAAAACTAACTGTTCATCAGATATTGTTTATGCGGGTGTTTAGAATTATGTTTGTGTGTGTGTGTGTGTGTGTGTGGTTGTGGGGCTTGAACTCTGGGCCTGGGCGCTGTCCCTGTCTTCTTCAGCTGAAGGCAAGCGCTCTACCACTTGAGCCACAGTATCACATCCTAGAATTATCTTAAAACACTTATTTAGATTCTTCTTGCTAAAGATGTCTTAAAAATACTCTATGAACCCACTATACACAAAAAAGAAGGCAAGGAAAGTGTATACTGCCCGTTGCCTTGGCAAAAGCATTCAGAAGACAGTCCCAGAAAGGACAGGTCACATGCAAACTAAATTTCCAGGAGAGTCCCACAAAGGTGAAATCTCAGAATTTCTGGCAAGAGTTTCTTGCTCACTTCAGAAAAAACACTATGGGGCTGGGGGCACAGTCTAGTAGGGTGCATAAGAGCCCAGGGCTTGAACCCTAGCACCATCAAAAGATAAATTTACAAAGAGGTTTTAAGTACAAGAGTACCAGAAGAAAAAACTACCAGGAACCCCTGAAAAGCACGTTCCCCAAGGTTGTGCTCTCAGTATCTCAAATAAAAGGTACATCTCAGAAGCATTTGTTGAAGAGGGGATAGATGGTAAAAGAAAAACCCAGAAAGATGAAATTAATTCTGACTCCATAATAATGAGTTCTAAATTGGTAAGGGACCTGAATTTCATTCACAAAGTAAAGAGATAACTTTTTGCTTCTTGCTCCTTTTTACCTCCATAAAATCTAGCTAAAGCCAGATGGGCACTAGTGGCTCATGCCTGTAATCTTAGCTACCCAGGAGACTGAGATCTGAGGATCCTGGTTTTTTAGCAGAAAAGTCCCCGAGGCTTTTATTTCTATTAACTAGCAAAATGCCAGAAGTAGAGCTGTGGCTGAAGTGGTAGGAGTGCTAGCTTTGAGTGAAAAAGCCAAGTGACAGTGTGAGGCCCAAAGTTCAAGCCTAATACTTGTGTGCATGCATGCACACGCGCGCGCACACACACACACACACACGCACACACGCACCCACACAAAATCTAGCTAGCTAGATTATGTACACTGTGTATTCAATAAAACTACTTCTGTAGCTAAAACTGAAATGTCAGATGGGGTGGAAGGAATGGATTGATCCTTTTTTCATCATAATGACATCATAAGCTGAAAGTATCTAAGTCAAACTAAAGAAGAATGCTCTGCTAATTTAGTGGTACTTTGGAAGGGGGTGAGAAAGCCAGTTTACTAGTTTGCTGGGAGGACATTATTTCTCAAATGTCCCCAGATGTTGGGTTGGGAAGGTGGCTCAGCGGTAGAATGCTTGCCTTGCATCCAAGAGGCCCTGGGTTTGATTCCTCAGCACCACATAAGCAGAAAAAGCCAGAAGTGGCTCTGTGTGGTTCAAGTGGTAGAGCACTAGCCTTGAGCTGAAGAGCTCAGGGACAGTGCCCAGGCTGAGTTCAGGCCTCCCAACTGGCCAAAAAAAAAAAAAGTCCCCAGATGATTTAAAGGAATGATACTACTGAGTCACTTGCAGCCTAAAACACATCCATCCATACATAAGTGACAGTGTAGTTTCTAGCATTAGTATGTAAGTATCTTCCTTGAGAGGATCCATAATTATTTTTGGAGGAAAATTCTACACTACCAATTCTCTACTACTCCCCCATACCCATATTTGCTAGAATTATGGAAATCTAAATCAATACTGAACAGTACTAATAAGGCTTTCCTGCTGTAAAGATATGCCACCCAAACATTACTCTTGAGCAGGAGTCCAGAAGTTTGGCATGCCATCTGTTTATGAAAGGCCTGTGAACTAAAGATAAGTTTTTGGCCCTTCTAAACAGTTGAAAAAATAGTATTTCATGACACATGAAAATTTCTGAAAGTGAAATTTCAGTATCCACAAATGAAGTTTCATTGGAATATAGTCATGCATTTTTTTTGTTGATACAATGGCAAAGTTGACTAGTTATAACAGAAACAATATGCTTTACATATTTATTATGTGGGGGCTAGGGACCTAGCTCAATGGTAGAACAAGTGCTTAGTATGCTCAAGGTTCAATCCCCAGCCCTAGGGGAAAAAAATACGGTGTGGATCTTATAGAAAGTTTGCTGCTCCCGGGCTGGGAAGGTGGCTCAGTGGTAGAGCGCTTGCCTTGCATGGCTGAGGCCCTGAGTTCGATTCCTCAGCACCACATAAGCAAAAAGAAAAAAGCCAGAATTGGCTCTGTGGCTCAAGTGATAGAGCACTAGCCTTGAGCTGAAGAGCTGAGGGACAGCGCCCAGGCCCAGAGTTCAGGCCCCACGACCGGACCCAAAAAAAAAAAAAGTTTGCTGCTCCCCTGCTTTAGGCCATTGTTTCCTAATGTGCCAAATAAGTGTTTCTATTTTAAGTGTTTATATTTTTTTAGGCAAGATCTTACTAGGTAGCCTAGGCTATCCTCAAACTCACAATCCTCCTGTCTCAGCCTCCCAAGTGCTAGATGAGGATGTGCTCCACCACATTCTGGAAGCATTTCAATTTTTAAAAGGGGTCTTGAGATTCAGTCAGTTTGGAAGATACTGGGCAGATTGCTTAGTTACAGGACTTCTCAGACTCCTTATGAAATTGGTATTAGTAGGTTTTGCCGGACCTCCTACCCCAAGGTATTTTTCTGTGGCAGAGCATCTCCCAGAAACAAAGCTCCTCAAGGAGCACCTCCACCTGTGCTGGAATACAGTCCAGGCTTCAATGGAACCAGGGCCTACAAGAGACATTGACAACAAGCCTAGAAGAAGTCAAGAGAATGGCCATGTTATTTGCTGAAGGAGCGCTGATAGAGGCAAGGCCATTGTTCATGGCTCTTTTATGACCACTTTGGAGGTAGTCTGAACAGTACAAGAAAATGCTTTTTTCCAAGCTGAGTCTACATCCTATAAACACGTGAATTTCATCTTTAATTTTCTTTCTTTGCTTCAGCTGTTAGGAAATTCATGAAAACATTTGTAACTACCTCTAGAAGAATTATCTGTAGTTTGAACTTTCTGAACTAACTTGTACCCGGATGTACATACTTTGCCTACTCAATGATGCCTTTTACTTCATTTCCTAAATTTAAGAAAGTCATTCTATTACATGTACTATCTATAAGCTGCCTGAAGTCATGTTCAGTGTTGGGGGCTAAGGGACCCTGAGGAAGATACAAACAAGTTCACATGCACACTGTGAGGGACTGCAACATTTCAAAATCATGTGTGAGGTGATAGAAGAAAGAGACAGTATAGACTACTAGGAGAACGAACTTCTACACACAGCAAGCTCAGAGAGCTCCCAACAAGAACTTGCAGCACCAGACTTCAAAGTTTCTCTCCCACTGTAGAACACTGAGAAAAGGCAAGGGAATGATGAGTGACCTTGACAAACCCCAGTCCTAGGGCTAAGAGCCAGTAGCTGAATCTGGTGTCATTGCCATGATTACGAATGGGCCACGATGTGGAACTTGATTGCTCCTTCTGATCGTGGGCCACAGGGGCTGGGAGCTGCTGCCCTCAGCACTTGGGAGCCCAGCCCCATGAGGCGGAGTTGGGGCAAGGGGCCATTCAGCTGTTAACATGCTTGGGGTTGCACTGGCTCCTTTTCCCGGAAGGCTTTGGTCTCACAATCTGCAGGGAGCAGGCTGGCCTGCCAGGTTTTAGAACCTGTGAGACCAAATATTTGAAGAGTTCCGCAACAATGGTTAGAAAGAAGCTAACCCTGACCCACAGAAAATAAAGTGCCAGGTGGGGGAGGGAGAGAATGAGAGTCCAGGCCATGAAGCTACAGAATTCCAAATCAGAGCAATGTTATGTAACCAAATTTCTGGAGGCACGTGACTGAAGGGTTTAGTAGAACTTTTAAAGGGATAGCACACTACTAAGCCTGTTTGAACCTGTTTGACTCAAAGACACTGGCCTGGGAAAAGGACACAAGAACAACTAAAAGCCTTCTATAATCTCTTAACCTGGCCAAGAGCCCCAGGAAGTAACTGAAGTATGGAAGGAATTTCCTTCTATGTTCCTTTACTACTTGAACCCCTCCTTTGACCCTGTGGCTTCTGCCTCCTCCGGGATCAACACCTCTAGCTCCTCTCAGCTGAAAGTCACTCCTAGTCAAGGCCCCTACCACAGTGCAGTAATTGTTCCCCCAAGGTCACAGTTGCTGCCAGATTATCTTAAAATATCTCTATGGTCAAAACCTTTCATCCCTTCTTGCTAAGTTAAACAGAAATTCAGTGCAGGGTCGAAGCCCTCCATATACTTTTCTAGTCAGACTGCATACTCCTGACATGTACCTTGTGTGACAAACTTTTTCTGTGTCCTCCATCCCTGAACCACTGTGCTGTTCCTACACTGGGACACATTCTCCACTAATCTCCAAGATCTAAGACCTATATAATCTTTTTTTCCCCTTTTTTGATGCAGGTACTGGGGTTTGAATTCAGACCCTCAAGTTCTTGAACCTAACTTTCCTCCTCACAGCTGGAACTCTACCACTTCATCACATCTCCAATCCAACATTTAGGCTGACTTTGAACCTAGATCCTCCACGTCCTGAGTAGCTAGGATTACAGGTGTGAGCCATCAGTGCTGGCCTTCATAGCTTTTAAATAAAGTCTAGTTGCAGCGTCATCTTCTCACCAAGGAACCTTGGTCTCTCCTGAGATAAGAAACCATCTTTCCCCATCTGCCTTGCCCATGCTTGTCACTTTCCCCTTTCTAAAAGCACTCGCTACTATTGTCTTTGGTGATTATTTAAGGATAGTCTTATCATGGTGACAAACAGCGCCAATAACAGGCTTAGTTTATTGTGGCTTTTGTTAATGTGCTTGTATCCATTCCAGCACAGCGAAGGCACATACTAACAAATAGTTGATGGGCAAATGAATGAAAAAATGACCTGAGGGCTCTCTTTAGCACTTTTCCATTCAATTTTGCCACTGTGCCTTGGGAAACACATTTAGGATTAGAACTCATGACTTCTTGGCGCCTGATCCTGTGGTCATACCACAGTGTTATTATTTCCAAGGATGTCCTTTTTCTGTCTTTATCCCATCTTCTTTTCTCATAAAACGGTGTTTTACAAACTGTGGTTTAGGGACTGCTTCCAGATTAACAAAATTTATAGAGGACCTCCTCTGTCCGTGACTCTGGGTTGGTCTCCTTGCGAGCAAGCAGTTCTGGTGGGAAGGATCTGGGTCAATGATGGTAGATGGATGAAATAGGAATGGAAAAAAAAAAAAAAAAAACAAGAAGTAAGCTTAAGAGGATAAAGAATAAAAATTTTACTCTCTAACACTTTCATAGATTAGACAGCATCACAGTTGATACAAAAACAAGAAAAATCTTTGTAAACTGCAGCAGAAGAGCACTTGAAGAGCTACAGCTCTCATCCATGTGACTGGGTCTCAAAGAGACCCTCATAGAGCCTAGCCAGGGTAGCCTTAAACTCACAAGCTGAATTCATCTTTGCTTCCTTCCATCTCCCTAAGTTAGAATCAGTGTTCAAATCTAAATCTATAAAATCTGATCAAGGAACGGTTCCTTTTGTTTTCCTGATGGCCACTGTGTAATGACCTACCCCACTCCTTTCTACTGGCACAAGTGATGCTGATCAGTCTAATACAAATCAAGTATTTTTTACTAGGTGCCTAGAATATGGTCCTGATCCTTTCAATTAGAGTCCTCACTTCCACACTCACCCAGTGACAAAATGACATAAGGCCACACACTGGACAGAAAGAAGTGACACAATATACTGGGAAGGCCCTTTTTACCTGACACAGGTCCATAGAAGGATAATCTTAAGCTCTGGCAAAATTTTAGACCAAGTGGATATGGTATTAGGTACTAGGTTCTTTGACTTTCTTTTTTTTTGGGGGGGGTCCGGTCGTGGGGCCTGAACTCTGGGCCTGGGCGCTGTCCCTCAGCTCTTCAGCTCAAGGCTAGTGCTCTACCACTCGAGCTACAGCGCCACTTCTGGTTTTCTGGTGGTTTATTGGAGATAGGAGTCTCACGGTCTCTCCTGCCCGGGCTGGCTTTGAACCGAGATCCTCAGATCTCAGCCTCCTGAGTAGCTAGGATTACAGGCGTTAGCCACCAGCACCTGGCTACCACTAGGTCTTTTTTTTTTTTTTTTGGTCGGTCGTGGGGCCTGAACTCTGGGCCTGGGCGCTGTCCCTCAGCTCTTCAGCTCAAGGCTAGTGCTCTACCACTTGAGCCACAGCGCCACTTCCGGTTTTTTTCTTTTTGCTTATATGGTGCTGAGGAATCGAACACAGGGTCTCTGGCATGCAAGGCATGCGCTCTACCACTGAGCCACCTTCCAAGCCCCACTAGGTCTTTTTGATAAGTAAATTATCCTACATCAGGCTTGTAGGAGCCATTTCAAGTGACTTCTTGTATATCTATGCTGTGTCATACATTTCTGATGGTCTTGCAATTGCTTATTTCCCTGAGGAATCTATTTATTTTAGGCACAGAATGGTATTTAGAAACCAAAATAGAGTATTGGATAGGTATAGATATGTTCATTACATCCTGGGCTGTCATTGTTTCTAGATCCTTTCAGCATGCAGGACATACTACTTTAACCATATAAAACTGGTGATATTTGACCTGATATTTAACCACGTTGGTCTAAAAATGGAATTTTATTATGTTTGGTTCATCCTAACACTGCTGAAAAACCATGAGTTCATACTGACACCTCCAAGATAAATCCAATTAGCCATCCCACTCCCCTCCCCAAAAATGAATAACAGAGTTTCTCTTCATGCATGTTCTCCCATCCCGAATTCATATTTTCCTTTTCTCAGGGACAACCTGAGCTCCCAATGACCTTAATCTATTTGGGGGGGGGTGGAAAAATGTATATTTATAATTAGCCAGCTGGCCTCAGTTGAGATGATTCCAATTTTGCTGGCAACATCTAAAGCTTTTTCTCTCCATCAGGTGTGATCAGGGTATTGACCTCAGCCACATCAATGTCACAGAGCTTCTTCACAGTCTGTTTGATCTGATGCTTGTTGGCCTTGACATCTACAATCACCACAAATATGTTGTTGTCTTCTATCTTCTTCATGGCTGACTCGGTGGTCCGAGGGAACTTGATGATAGATAGCATCGTGGTCAAGCTTGTTTCTCCTCGGAGCACTCTTCCGAGGGTATTTGCGCTGTCTCCAGAGCCCAGCGTCTTGTGTCGCCAGAAGGTGAGTGAAATGCATATCTTCTTTTTGTGTCTGTGGCCACTTTTCAACATTGCCTTCTTGGTCTTCAAAGCCTTTTCCTTGGCTTCGGCTTTAGGAGGGGCAAGATGAACTCCAGCTTGGCTTTTGGCGCCATCTTGGTGAAAAGCCAATGGCCTTAATCTTTTTAATAATATCAAAATTAAAACCCCAATGACTATATATTCTTCAAGGGTATAACCTTAGGGCATACTCTTCAAGGGTATATAGGTAGAGAGCTCAAAAGTAATTAATTCTTTATGTGTTGCTCTTCTGTTTTGATAAACATTAGGCCTATTTTGTTCTATTTCATCTCAATTTTAGAAATGTTGCTTTTATTTCTTTTAATTAAAAAAATTAGTGTTATTATAAAGGTGATGTACAGAAGGGTTACAGTTACATAAGTCAGATAAACAGTACATTTCCTTTTAGACAATATCACCCCTTCCTTCACTCTCTCCCAGTTTTCCCCTCCCATCCCTGCCCACAAGTTGTATAGTTTATTTTCAACGTAGTGTCTAGTGAGTACCACTGCTGCTTTTGCTTCTTTTAAATGTCATGTTTTCTCTTTCCTCTTCTTCCTTTGCAGTAGGGAGGTCAGGTCTGGCCAATGCTATGTTAGCCACATGGTCTGGCATCTTGTCTTCACGCTAGGGGAAGATGAAGCCCCTACCTCCCTCCCAGGTGATGGGTGTGTCCAAATCCCTGGAGGCAGGGACAAGCACTTGGCTGATGGGTTGCTGGACCTGTCAGTCCAGTGGTAGTGGGAATTTCCTGTGTCCCTGCCCCATTATGCCATGCCACGTGCTCTAAGTTCATGTCCTGTCTCCTAGCTTGTCTCTGGTCACCATGGTATCCCAATTCAGCTCCCATTGGTTTGTTGGTATTGTTTTTGTTATTTCTTTCCTCTCTGACTTGGTTCCTAATAGTCTAAGGTGTATTTGTGGGCTACAGGCCTTTGTGACCTAACTGTGTAATAGACTCCAAGATTTGGTCTTTCAAAATGTGGCTTCTCTGAATTCATACCTTACAACACCTTATACAGACATATGCTACAAACCGTCTTTTCATCTTGTTTTTACCCTAAACAATAATCTTGGGTGAAAAAAAATCACAGCATATCAGTTTAGATGTCTAGAGTCATCAGAGTTGGAAAGTTGCTCCTGTCTAAAATCTTATCCCCCATATGCCTCCAAACCCAAACCAATGAGACCATCTTAAATACTTGGGTTGGAGCTGTGGGAGAAAGTATGTTGCCTCATTGAACATGCATTTAACTTTCATTTAATATATCTATTAGAGGCTGAATTGAGATGTGATTGAGAAACTTTCTAATACGAGACTTTGTAGTCAACAAACAATTTAAATCCCTTTTATACCATGAGTTTTACTTTTTTTTGGGGGGGGGGCAGTGTTGAACTCAGGGCCTTTGACTTGAGTCACCCCTTAAGCCTTACCACAAAGCCTTAAACATGACTTTTCTCAAGAAATATATCTATCCCTTTCTTTTCTAAATGGTTTACTGTGTATAGTTCTAGTCCTTTTGATAAGAGACCAACTCAAAATTGTTGGACCAAATGGAATGTCAACATGAAGAAGGCATCAGAGAACAAGAAAAGAAGACCAAATTCCTTTATCCAACTAATATTTTGTAGGCCTCTACTGTACTAAATCTAAGAACAGATGGAAAAAAATAAAAGATTCCCACCTAGTTACATTCAAGTGGAGAAAGAAAAATAAACAACACTGAAAGTAGAGAAAAAAGAAAAACAGTAGAATAAAGGAATTGGAAGTTACAATTGTAATGATATTACAAACAGGAGAATCCTGATAGGCTGCAATGAAAAAATACACATGGAGATTACTCGAAGAAAGTTAAGAATGTGAGGTTGGTCTGTACTCAAGGCAGAGGAAGAGCTGGGGCAAAGGCCCAAGCCAAATGAGCTTACCTACAGTACAGAACTAGTTAACCAGAAGGTTAACTAGTCTCTATGGGAGGTAGAGATTGCTGGGCCTTTGAACTCTTATTTCCTGGCCAAGAAGACTAAAACTTAGGCTTACCAATGTTCAGAATGCAACTCTGTAGCACCAATGAAGCAATGAGGGCAGCCACACAAAAATCTCTACTCCAAGCTGTCTCTAAACACCTATCTCTTTCTTCTGGTAGTAGAGTTTTTCAGTAATGCAGATTTAAATGATCAAGCTGGGGTTACTTTAAGACAAGCCATGGGAATACTGATGCATACAAATTAAGTTGTAAAACTGGACTGTAAGCTTCTAGGAAATGATTCTATGAACGAACCAAATATCCAAACACCTCAATATACATATACAGTGTTAAGAATTTAAGCATAAAAAAGCTCTGTAAGCTATACAAAAATCTTCCTAGAGAATAAACATACTAGAGGCCTTCAGCAGATGGAGAATCTTGCTGTCATTAAAAATACCCTCCTCTCTATTTCCTAGAAACAGCTCCTTGAGCAAATTATAAAAATAGTGGCTATTATTTGCATTTTGTAGATAGGGAAACAGAGTGTCAGAGAGATGATATAATTTGTCAGAATCACAAAACTACAGAGGTCTGACTCTGTTGAGGCTCCGTAATAAGGTCTCAGCAGCAAAAGTTTCTATTATCTTCCCTTTCTGTCCCTGACCTCTTCATTCCCTCCAAAGAGGAGTTAAAGAAGTTAGATCTGCTGGTCACTCTGACCTGGCTTAAGCAAAAGTCCCTATCACCCCAGGCGGGACATTATACTCTGGATCTAATCAAAAGTACCTGCCCCTAGCTCCCAAGGGAATACAGCCTGATTTTTATTCCTTTGTTTCTTTGTTAAGACCCATATAAGCCAGACCCCAAATCTAGTCCCTCACACAACCTTCATATACAGTCTGTGCCTGTGCTCCTCGCTGGCAATAAACAGTCCTAGCCTGTTGAGAATCCAGTCCCTTCTGTTCATTTTCTGTTCTCCTCCATTTCCTAACACCGCTCTTCTCCAAAACAGTTCACAGAAACTAGAAACTATCCCTCCCCGAAACCAGCCATAAAACCCAAAAAAAGCATTCTAATGTTCCTTATCTTTTTACGAAAAATTGACTGTAAAGGAATTCTTTAATTGTAGGTCATTAAGGTCCCCAATTCCACAAATTCTTTTTTTCTCTCTTTTTTTTGGGGGGGGATCTGGTCGTGGGACCTGAACTCGGGGCCTGGGCGCTGTCTGTCCCTCAGCTCTTCAGCTCAAGGCTAGAGCTCTACCACTTGAGCCACAGTGCCACTTCCGGCTTTTTTCTTTTTGCTTATGCGGTACTGAGGAATCAAACCCAGGACCTCAGGCATGCAAGGCAAGCTCTCTACCACTGAGCCACCTTCCCAGCCCTCCACAAATTCTTAAACCCAGAAGGAAGAACTACTACAGACAAGAATGTAAACAGACCGACCTCATTCTATTAATATTGGATCAGATGCTTTTGACCAGTCACAATGGCTTTCCATACTGCATGAAATCTCCACATGAAAGACCTAGGTCTTTGGGTCATGAGATGGAAGGCTCCATGCCATAAATCTGTTATTCTTATCTCTTATTAACCCTTGGTCAAAACATAGTCCAAACATGTTTTTATGGCACCTCTGCCATCTGGTCTCCTTCCTGAGAGATCTGGCACTTTATTATCTTCTGGTGCAGAAGACTAGGTTATTGGCCTTAATGGGAAAGCACAGGCATTATGGGTCATACTTGATTCCATTTTCATGGGATACAGGGAAATGTCTCTGTTCTGGCTGCTTCCCTGTGTGGAGTCAGAGCGGGGAGTGGAGTTTACAATGGACAGTCTAGAAGTGATGAGCTGTATGTAGGTCCAGGCAGAATCTGAAAGAGGGGCCAGAAGTGTCTTCCTCTCACATGTAACTGAAACCCAAAGTACGTGTCTATAACCAAAGAAGTGTGTGGAGGAACAATTTCATTGAGTCCCTACAAAATCTCTTTAAGAAAAAGTTTCTCTGTGGTTGACTAAGTTGCTTATGACTTCATTTTAGGTACCACATCCAAATCTGACAACTTTCCACCCTTAACTGAAAATCTACATACGAAGTGTTTTAATTAAGTTTCTTCAAATTGGATATTCCTTGGTATGTCTGAAAAAGTCAAGTCCCACATATTTTCCTTTGAAACAAGTATACAAAAACAGGGGAAAAGTATATGTGGACATACTTCTACTTAAATATATTACACTTTTAAATTTGTTTCAAATTTCCAGGAGCAACCAAGTTATTATGTAAAAATAAAACTGAAATTGAAACCAAATCTTAATATGACTTTTTCGGAGACTAAACACAATGAAGTGAAGGCCAGAATTTAACGGATTTAAATTCTAGTGGACAGAATTAATAGTAACAAAGTCAAGGAATTAACTATGTCTAGACATCTCTCTTAGATTTCTATTTGAGGAACAATATATATTATTTTTCTCATCCTTTGAATTCCCCAGGCAGGAATTCAGAACCTGCTGTTGAAAGGATCATCATCCTTAACTCTCAATCCATTTATCAGGCTAAAATGCAAATGCAAGTAGTGAATGCATTTCAACAGCCCCAGAACTCCAAAGCCTTCTCAGGGAACATGCTGAGCTAACTGGGGAAGGGTTAAGCCACCCCTATTTTTCAGATCTGAAAACAGTTGTTCTGATATGAGAAGAATCATCACAATGGTGCCAGCTCCTTTCTATAAAAGCTATACACATTTTTTGCACAACTGTATGATTGTTATGGCAACCATAAAAATGGAACTATCATTCTTCAAATTACACACTACCCATACTGGATTACCTACCTACGTTTGTTCTTTAACAATACCCCAATTTCTTTTCAGAAAGTGCTATGTCTGTCCTATAGATGTTTAGAAGCAAGATAAAGTGGTCTCTTTCAAAGGGAGAGCCACAACAATGAATCTTTCAAAGGCCTGCTCTTCAAGGATTCTAGGGCTTTCTTGTCAAGGCTTTTTATCCCTTGGTCACTAGGAGGCCTCAAAATATTCCCCGGGGAGGCAGAGAAACTGCCTGGAAAATGTATTCTCAAAATGAACGTTTTTATAAAGTGGGTGATGTGGAAAGATGGTGTTCAAGCATCATGAATGGGCCCATTCGACCTGGCA